AAAATAAAAAATTTTAAAAAATTGCAATTCAAACTGGACAGGAAAAGAGTTTAATCTCCTAAAATTTTTTTTAAAAAAAAATTCAAATCATCCCTAAAAAATTATCAAGAAAATAGAAAATAAAAAAAGTGGGATTGCTGGGAAGTTTTTCATCTTCTCCGCCTGTCCTAGATTTTACAGCAGTGGTAATTGGTTTTTCACCACATCAGTCTCAAGCTATTGAACTTTCATAGTACTACGTAACCTAAAGGAAGGATTTCCCTCAGCTCATAGAGGTCTGAGAGGCAAAAGAGTAATTAATAAATAGTCGTAATTGACAAAGAGGAGGTTGGTTGAGCTTAGCCCTCACAAAACGGAGTGGCGTACTAGCGTTGATAGGTACCTCACGTTGCTGGTGATGTACTTAGGTTGGCGCTAAATTTTGTTTGCTTTGATTGTCTAATTCGATAGACAGTATTATGTCATGTGTTTAAGCGATCTTACACACATTTGGCATCTATACTTAGAGAGTGGCCGACAAATTAGATCCAAATACAAACAATAACGACTCGGAAAAGAAAAAAAGAAAAAAGAAAAAAGGAAGACAGAGAGATGAGAGAAGTTTTGACTTTTCAATGTATAGCTCTAGCCCCCATGTGTGATTTTGGAGTTTGTGGATGCAACTTCAATTTGGTATCTTTGAGCCTCCATTCTTGCTTTACATCATGGAAATATATGTGACATAAATAGAAAACAAAGCATCACTTTCCCTTATGTTGGCACTACCTCCCTATTAATGGAACTTCCACGAGACAGCATAAATTTATTTTTTAATTTATTTTTTTATCTCACATATATCACATTACAAAAAGTGCTATAGTAATTATTTTAAATAATATTTTAAGGTGTGTTTGCAGGTTGATCTTTTCTCTTCCCCCTGTATTTTTCGTAAGAAAACACTACTACTACCCAATAATACTGGCTTAGGATTCACTAAGCCGAATGAGCTTTGACAATATTCTGGGAACCCGGACTCTTGGGCATCAGACAAACAGAAACATATAATAGTAATACTACAGTCTAATTCTTGTCTTCTTATTAAGAGAATAATTCCGGGATAGAGGATTTGATGCCTTATGGGTATTGTGAGAGAAGTTTATATTCCTTCGTTCAATGAAAGAAAAGAGAGAGAGGGGGAAGCAAACAAGTTTATGTAGTTTTAACTTTTATCTCAGGCCTTGTTTGGCTAAAGTAAAATTTATTGTTACATTTTTTGCGAACATATTTTTTAATTATTTTTTTACGTCATATATATCAAATTATTACTTTAATTTTTTTACAAAAAAAAATTCAAAAAAATGCAATTCAATCAATCTCCAATTTCGGGACAAAAAGAAAAGTAAAAAAAATGTAGGTGTAGACAGTTTTTTTTTTGTTCTGAAAAGGTGTGGACAATTGATTAGTGTCATCATTATTGATGCGTATTACTTTTGGTAGCAATAAAGTCTAGTAGTATGACATGGTAGCAGTAATTTGGTAGTACCATACTGAGGAAGCGTGGTGCTGTGGGAATTGTTCTTTAACGAGTCCTAATAGCCACCCCTTCTACCAACAAAATCCCAGCGACTGGTAGTAATTGGTTCTTTAGGACTTTTTAACATAGTAGTAAAAGCTATTCTCTCCAAAAGTGAGTCGAATGGTAAGAGGGACAGAGTCGAATGGGCACACGGTTGGTTTCTTCGGAAAGTCAAACAATACGAATTGCTTTTTCCAGAGCAACTATAGACATTTTAGTCAGTTGCTACAGCGAGAGGAGGAGGAAGGAACTGGACAACAACAAGTTGATGTCTGGCAATCCCTCGATGTCTGAGAAAAGTCTGATCTGCACGCCCAACACTGCTCCTACTTTTTCCGCAACAGTGTATTTCTTTGTCAGACTTTTCCTAACTATTGTCCGTGAGCTGTCCCTATGGAGGGCAATATTTGTAATTTCCTTTGCTCCTCTACCTCTTTGTCTAAAAGATATGGGGATCATGCTTAGGGATGCAGCTTTTTACTAAAACAGTGGTGAGATGTGGGGAGAACCTAGGCTGGCCGCTATGTAAAGGGTTGGACTAAAGGCTCCAAGGAAGGAAGAAAATGAATCCTCGGGAAAAGTTGGTGCTGATTTCAAGAAAATACTAGTAGCAGTAGTAGGAGTACTGCTGCTGCTGTCGTAATCTGGAGGTTTACCAGTTGCCACACGCCCGTTTTTTTATTCCTAAGACTAGTGTAGCTGCCGTATGGCCGCGCAATAGTATACAACACCAACCAGCTGCCTTACATTTACGTGGTAAATATTCTACAGGACCTTTTATGGAGTAGTTTCCAATGAATTGATAATAACAGAGTAATAGTAAATGTAAAATAACCATCTGCTTTTCCGGGTGCTATTTTGTCATTTGAGAAAACAAAGGGGTCAATGACTCATCAATTGGTGATGGATGATTCTCAGATTGTGATTTTGGTTTTGATGAATGTTCCACTAGGAACGTAGACAAGTTCTGCGGCACAATATATCATCATTACCTACATGTTCATGCTGTCAAAGGATACATGGTGGTTTAGTAAAATGAATGCAGTAGTTTTTGTCCTCTTTGGAGAAGGGTAATGTGAAATTACTCAACCATGCAACGAGGCTTCAGGATGGAAATTAAAAGATGCGCTGAGATTTCGAACTGATGATTTATCTTTTGCTTTTTTTTTTTTTGTTTTTGACTTTGGCAGGAGGAACAAGATGAGATCAGAGCAAGGAAAGGTGAAAAAGAGGCGTTGACGTGGGAAGATTACAAATCAATGCCTTTCACCCAGTGTGTAAGTCTGTCTAATGAGGGCGGCGGGGGGGATTTTAACAGTGCTGTGGTGACTTGCATCTTACTTTTTCTCTAAATAACGGAGTATGATGTGCTTTTCAGGTAGTAAATGAAACTCTTCGGATAGCTAACATAATCAGTGGGGTGTTTAGGCGAGCAATAACAGATGTCAATATGAAAGGTTAGAATTGGCAGCCAATTCAAGTACATAATTTGTAGTGTCCGTATAAAGCATTTGGACTGCGAATGGAGAGCTGATGAGATAATTTATATACCTGAATATATGGGATATTCACTGCTGGAATCTTGAGTCTGCATGGATCTACCTTCTTCCCTGCCCATCAACAACATTACTAGGATTAGATGTTGCATAAACACATACTTAATTCAACCTTTCCCCAAGCAGGTTACACAATTCCAAAAGGATGGAAGGTTTTCGCTTCACTGAGGGCTGTCCATCTGAATCAGGAATATTTTAAAGATGCTCGCTCTTTTAATCCATGGAGATGGCAGGTACTTGCCTGACAGCCTCTCATATATTCTCTCAGACTATTATTTTCTCACTCATTTTAATTTGTTCAGATTCTCTCTGTACTTTATTTAGATTAATAACAACACTCCTGGAGCAACAAGTCCGCTAAATGTATTTACACCGTTTGGTGGAGGCCCAAGGCGTTGTCCAGGTTATGAGCTTGCCAGGGTAGAGCTCTCAGTTTTCCTTCACCACATAGTTACCCGTTTCAGGTATCTATCTCATTCATCGACAACTAACTAGGTATTTATTGTCTAAGATTTAAGTTCACCTGAATTAACTGTTCTCGTTGATAAAAACTTTGATCAACAGTTGGCTTCCTGCTGAGCAAGACAAGTTGGTTTTTTTCCCAACAACAAGAACGCAGAAGCGCTACCCAATCATCGTCCAGACTAGAGTTGTGTCCGGGCCGTGTAAAGAAGTATAGAGGCCTAATAGGGAGAAATATATGGCTATCAGATGCTAGGAATCCAGCTTTAGTCAGCAGTATGTACTGGGACTTAATAAAATATATCATTATACAGTTTAGCGCATTCAGGATCAAATGATGCAAATAAAAAACCCATCAAAAAACTAGTACTACAATAATGACAGAAGGACCTAGATTGGGAACAAGGAGACTAATGTGCTAATTGCTGATACAAAAAATTTGGCAAGTGAGAACTCGTCATTTTTATCAATCTCAAGTCCAAAACTTAGACTTGTGAAGGTATCAAATATGCCGAGGTGTCAAAGCAGAAAGTTCATGGCAAAGACCATTTGGCCAAAAAAAAGAAACAAAAAGAAAAGAAAGGGACCATTCAGTAAGTAGGGGTGGTAATTTTCGACACGACCTGAAAACACGACACGAACCTAACACGAAATTAATGGGTTTGGGTTGAGGTTTCGGGAATTCGGGTCAGAATCGGGTTGGACCCGATGAACCTGAAAAGAAAACAGATCAATTTCGGATTAACCCGTGGTGACCTGATATGACCCGATATGACCCGTTTACGAATTAAAAATAATTTAATAAACATAAAAATAATTTTATCTAACTAAACTAAGTTATTCTTTTTTTCAAAGGCATTAATTACTTAATCCTAAATGAATTTATTTAATTTGTGTGAAGTTGAAATTATTATATTTGGACAAATAATATATTATATTATTTTTTACTTTTATGCTGTTTTAATTTATTTTATATTTTGTTTGGGATAAAACACTTTTACGGTGTTTAATTTATTTTAGATTTGGTTTGGAATTATTTATTTAAATTTTTATTACTTGATTATGTAATTAGTTTTGTGAGAAATTGATTTTATTAGAAATTATAGTGATAAATTAATAAATTAAAATTAAGTTTCGGGTCATTTCGGGTCGACCCGCCAACCCGACAACCTGAAATTTTCGGGTTCGGGTCAGCATACCTGACCCGTCACGGGTTGGCGGGTTGGATTCGGGTCAACAGATTTTCTGACGGGTTGACCTGAACCCGACCCGCCAACCTGATTTGGATCCGAATTGCCACCCCTATCAGTAAGTGCGTCAAATTACAGAATTCTTATTTCAATAGTACCATAGAATGTGCAACTTGTTACTCAGTGGTCGTGCTCTGATCATTGTGCTCCTCGAATGTTTATTTCACTCTTAAGAGGTATGAGGGAAGTAGCCGAGGCACAACTTCATTACCGATGAAACAAATACACCCAGGAAACGACATTAACTGAAAGCTCAACATTCCTGAGTTCCAAAGCGGAACATCTCTAGCAGATTGATGTTCAATGGTTGTGGCAGAGAGACACTCTGGTTTTTGCATCTTAATAAGGCATAAAGAAAACTGAAAGACCATCAGTATCCTCGGAGGAGTCCAGTAACACAAACTTTCTCATGGCAGCTGTAGAACACTCGTAAAAACGTGCGGACATATTTGACTACAATAACGTAGACCAAAAATTGCTCATCTGCCTAAAACTGGCGCAGACCACTTTCATGCAACTTCTGAAAGCAAAGTTCTCAAAATCAGGATCTCACCTTGGATCATTTTGAGGTTCACAGGATCGAACTGTCGAGTCGTAGGATCGTAAGATCCTATAAAAGAAATTCAAAAAATAGTCATATTAATAGATTTTAAGCTGGCAATTCACATATATAGTAATATATAATGCAACTCGTGTAAACCATATAATGGTAAGCTAATTAAGGAAAAAAAAGGTGCTATTCAAAGTATTGGGGGCGATATGGTATTTAAATAAAAAATTTGGACTCATATACGACATACTGGAAACATATGTTGATTGACCTATATAATTTTATTCAAATTATGAGAATTAGATTGTATGCCGCAAACATTCATTTTGACTTGAAAATGGCTCAAAAAGTACTTTTCAAAATGTTCTGCAAACCACTGTATTATCAAATAAAAACACAGCAGTAAAGCTTTTAGCAAATTGATTACTCAAAGAACCTTAAAAAGGTGCAATAAATTTTAATGGAACCACATTTGACATTAGAATATCACGAGACTGCACATACAATTCTCTAACTGAATCTTTTCTAACCTCATGTCACATACAAGTTTCAGTTAAAGAACAACTAGTCACAAAATTATTTGCGCGCCTGCCAAGCTTCAGCTTGAGTTGTAAACAGCAAGAGCAACAGGTGCGAGCAGCAGGCAACCATCAAAGAATTTGCATATCTGACACTTACAGAAGCAATGGTAGCAGTAGCAAAAAGATGGTTCTAGCTACTAAGCAAACAGCATCCCCTGAGTAGATTGCAAGCTTGAACTTGTCCAATTTGACCACCAATGAGCCAGCAAAACGATGCTAAATTGACCTGCAAATGCCTCATTGAGTGCTGTTGATTTCAAGGTTTCTCAGAGCAGACTCTATGAGTTTAACCATCTTAGTATTCTCATTATTGACAAGTGAAAGCTTTTCAATCGAGGATCTGAGCTTGGATACTTCCTCTGCTGGCATATAATTCATCCTCTTCCCTGATACTTGAGTATGTTGGTTCAATACATTGGCCTGTTGAGAATTTTCAAATCTTTTCAACCTTGCATCCAAAGCTTCAATGGATGACCGCAATGCATCTAATTCCACGCCATTATATCTGTCTGCAAAATTGTTTAATTGGTCTATAAGACAACGTATCAACAAAGAATTTGATCCATGCAACGGTAAAGGAATAATCACTTCAAAGCTGTATATCATAAATGATGACCAAATTCTACACCATAATGACAACCCAAGATGAATAGTAACAACACTTTGTTCACCTGAAAATCAGTTTTCTGGCAGGAAGTGGCAGAGCTAGGGAGGAAAAGATATTTTAAAGCATTAACTGAGGTTACCTAGTTCTGCTTTAAAATCTCGCTCTGCTTTGGAAAGCGGTTTTTTGTGTATCCCAGGCAGGTTTCTCAATTTGAGTAGGCGCTCTTCTAGGACATTGCAATGCTGAACTGCATTGGTAATGCGACTCTCTAACTTTTCCTGCTTCTCTTCAACTTCTAAAAGCTTTTGTTCTGCTTTCTGTAAACGAGAATGCTGGTTGTCAATGATCTTCTTCAGCTGAGGTGCATGGTGCTGGAGTTCAAAGTACACCTAGAAAATGTCAATGGAGGAAAACAGGAGTTAAAACCCCACAGAGACAAAAGGGAGACTAAAAAGGCAAAAGTCCCAACCCCCCATATCCTTGAGACATGATCATTATCCCCTAGAATCAACTTTGCACCATTTCTTCATTTAAAAAATAAAAAGCCAGTTAAGAATCTAGCTTATACTTGTTAATGCATTTCTGAAAATTCAGAACCTTCACCTATGTGAAAATTCTTCTGGCAGCTAGTATAAACTATCATTTTATATCAGCATAGCTGAGCAAAAATAGAAAAACTTAGCAAATTTGGAAGACTATGAATAACAACCAGTCATTTTGAAGTGAGTGGGAGTAAAGATACCATAAACCACCGTTCAGAAAATCTTCAACACAGGTTTCCAATTTTGAAGGAATCTAGAATCAAATGAATGTAGTGGGAACTTGAACATTACACCCAAGAGCCCATGGTAGAACCTAGAAAAGATCAGCATTCTCACTTGGTTGCTTTCTACACTTAGTAGGGTGCTCAAGGGAGCATTCTCACTGAATCCAACTTGGGATAAAGAGGAGAAAATTTTCACTATGTCTGCATTGTTTGCAAAAGAAGACAATGAACCACTAATAGTCTACCTTCTTAAGTTTTCCTGTGTATGGCCTATCCTTCTACTTTGTAAAGTTCACAGTGCAACACCAAATAATACCATTTTTCAATAAGCTATTGCTTTTACAGAAGAAACGGTGACATTAAAAATCTGTTATATCATTTCTTATTTAGAAAAGGAAATTTAAATGTTTGCAAGGCACAATAAACCATACAGTAAATATGATTCTTTGCTTCCTCATATAGCAGATCATCATAAATGCTCTTTTTGAAGATCATCGGTGACATAATTTGAGCAATAATATTATTGGTTTTAGATGTGAAATAAGATAACCCAACATCTAAAGCAACTCCGAAAACACAGTAGTCTTATAGGTCAATATTCCAGGCATTATCATCAGAAACATAAATATCTCTTAACGAACAAAGTCAATAAAGAACAAAGGCTTAACAACATAAACATACACCTAGGAAAATATTCCTAATCTTCCTTCCAAATTTATAGTTTCACCTAATGGGGCCATTACATGCAAAACAACATGATAAGCTGCTACCTTGTAAGCATATTCCATGTAATTTTCATGAAAGAGTTTGAAGTATTGATGAAGAGTAGATCGCCCTTCAATTGAGTCTGCAGTTACAGAACGTAGATTTGGTGATGATGGTGGCAGAAGAACCACTTTAGGGCCACTAAGGAGTTCCTTGCTAATAATAGTTGTACTATTGGTATATTGTTTTTCTTCCTCAAGAGCAGGGTTTTTCTCCTCATCAACAATTGGGGGAAGCAACAAATTCCAATTCTCCATCTCTAACACAATACATTCTCGAGAATATGTAACTCCTACAATCCATGAATCTCCAAATGAATCTGCTAAAGCCAAGAAACCACAGAGTGAAGGTGTTGAGGAAGATTCTCCGTGGCAGGCACTGATCACAGGATTTACAGATGGACTTCTCCTTGCCCCATCCTTGCCATCTGACTGACTTGAAAAAGGCAGAAAGTGCAAGACAACAGAATCTATGCCTCCATTATGAAAGCAATATGTTCTTTCAGGCATAAGAGGATCAACAGACATTGAAATATGTGAACCACCTTTTCCTGGTAAAGCTAAGTCAACAATAGCCAATCTCAACAAAGGAGGTGGATGCCCCATCCAAACATCACGATCAAGGGTTGAATCAGGCTCCGGAAAGGAGAGATGACTTGAAACTGACTCACAAATCATAGCAATACCAAGTATGCGGTCACATGAATCAACAAAAAGACGAGGAGGACTACCAGCTTTCCAGACTGGCTGGATCTCATCAGCGAAGGCATCTATTTGTAGTTGTCCACCACTCCAAGCAATTACCAAAACCGAATCTTTGCTAACTAAGTTATAAAGAAAACTAACTGCACGCCCTTGACCTTCCGCATCCTGAACTTGAGTATCTTTCTTTTCACCATGACAAAAATTACGTAGAGGCCCCTAGAAACATGATTGTTGTCAGCTCAATTTGCTCAGCAGAACTAGCAAAATTTACAACACTTCATCATGAAAACTTCCTGGCTTGAACATCAAGATAAATGAAATGGATGGTAATCAGAAAGAATGATATCTCCAAGAAATTTTATGTCGATCATCACCAACTACTTGGCAAGCTTAGTAGTTGGTCCAGGACAAATGAGAGAGTTACATGTGGACATATTGGTTCCAATTCACATTCCACCTAGATGATTGTGGAACTAAGTGGGTCCTAACCAACATAAATTTTCCTGATATCTCCACTCTTTATTCTATTTAGTATAGTTTATAGCAGAAACCTATGGACAGCCCTCTGGCAATCGGTAAAGGCAACAAAAACTGTCATTTTATTAGGGTTTTTCTTTCTTTTTTTTTTTTGGGGGAGGGGGGGTGCAAAAATCTTAAAGCTTGATAAGGAAAGGGAAAAAGTATTTTCTTCCATTTCATCGCATTTCCTGCTTCATTTTATTGAAAGCATCTCAAACAATTGCAATTATCTTACTCAATGCAAGCTTGGAACATCAAAAGTTTAAATTCTAAATAAGCAGCAGAAAACTGGGGGAAAGGACGAGAATTAATCGAGCAACAAAGCCAAATATTATGGTCTATTCCAAGTAAAAGACAGCAAGGATAACTACACTGAATCAGAGTTGATGATTTAAAAAAAAAAAAAAAGCAATTGGGGAAAGTTCACACAGAAGATGAGCATGCAGGACATGTTAAAGCTTAGCTTTCAAAACTATGTAAATCTGATAAATAAGCAGATGAGAGGTTAATACAAGAGAAAAAGACAGCTTGACAGGTAGAAAAGATACCTGCAATACTATGGACGAGTCAATAAAAGCATAAGGCCGAGCTTTAAGAGCAAACGAATCCCCACCTTCAGCAGATTGCTGACTTAATTCAGGAAATATTGCTTCCAACCAAGAGATTGCCATATTGATATTACTAACAGCTTTTGAGTTGGTAGAATTTAACCCAAATGTTTTGGCATCAACATAAATTTCCTGCAACGCCTCCCACTTGTAAACACTGGGAAAAATCATTAAAATTCAGCTCATCAATTTACTCAATTACATTCCAGAGAGAACTACTTAAACAATTGCAAACAATTTAGTATATTATAAAAAAAAGCACTAGAAGCATCCCAATGATACACTGTGTCAAGAAATTAGTGTTTCTACAGTTAGATCATTTCGTCAAGTAACAAACATCAACTCCATGAGCAATTCAGGAATCTACTACTCTTGATCTGCATGACAATAATACAAACCAAGCATGCAAGCGACGAACCTGGCTCAGATGCTAACACATCATGCAGAGTTCAGCCAAACACAGTAGAGAAGTAGTTAGTGGCTCCCTCTAAATTTACTGATATGTTGAGCATAAATGAGCAATTACCTTCCAAATGGTATAATGGGGCAAAGAACATAAACTGATCCATCGCTGAATAAAATGAAAACCTGTAGAATGGAATATAATAATCAATATGCCAACGTAACCTCTCAAAGTATATCCCATAAGGGTTGAGAAGGCTGTAACAAATGCATAAAGAAACAGAATCACTACTCTAGCAACACTTGATTGTATATGCAAGAGACAAACAAGTAATTAGTTAGATGAAACAAAGGTAATACAAAATAGTTTGAATTACTAGCCACAAGAGTACTGGAACATCACTAAAAGGGATTAGCAGGGAGAACTACAGGACATTTACTGAGACAGAGATTAGCAGAGATCATGATGTCCAAAGAGCGTCAAGAAAGCCAGAGATAGAAGCAACAATCTTGGACATCACAAAGAACTTGAGCATGAATCATAGATGGTACCAATTAGCTGGAGGATCTAAATATTTTTGTTCAAGCATAAAACAAGAATCAGGATTTTGTACATTAGAAAAAAAAATCAAATTTGAAAATCAGAAACTGTGATAAGAATGTTAGAAACAAAGAAGAAACATTTTATGTGATGGTTGGATGCATACATATCTCGACTATTAATTAACATGCTTGCAAAGGTGCAAACATGGTTCAACTCCAAATATTTGTCACATCCAAGAACAAAGGTAGTGCAACAATCTTCCTGAATGGTTTTATGCTAACTTTTCTCGCTTTAGCAGAATGGTTTAGACTATTTCACTTGCTTATCTTTTGATGTAAAAAGGTAAGCAATAAATAATGGAAAATTGAATTTAACTCACACTAAATCTGTCCCATAAATGATTGCCACCAAAGGAGAAATCAACAGGGCAGATTGACGAAGCTCTAGTTGAACTGCCAAACTTCACAGGCTGCAAATAGTATTCCTGTTCTGGTTGCTGAAGAGACATAGACAAATTAAAAATTCTGCAAAATAAGGAAGAGAAAGATAGTCACTCTCAAAATGAGAAAGACGAGAAATACTTGGCTACAATGGATTGCACACACTTTATTCCAAGAATGACATCTTACATATAAGGAAACTTCTTCGAGTTCTCAGAAATTAACTGTTAGATGTCGGAGTTTTGTTCTACCAATCAAAGTAAAATGGTGTATTTCATCTTTTGTACGTAAGAAAGATTAGTTTTCCACCAGTCAACTAAATTTAGCAATGACACATCTTCAGTGAGCCTCCAACACGTGAAAGCTATAAAAATACATACATCCAAGAGCTTTAAAGAGTCTCAAAGTGCGACATTCATGGCATAATATTTGAAGACCATCACTTGTGTAATATGAGTTTGCTTGTTGACTTACACAACAAGAAAAGACCAAAAATATAAAAATTAATGTCATAATCTGAGCTCAAGTAAATAGCATCTTTAATTCCTCAAAAAAGTGCATAGTGACTCCAGGGAAAGCCTATGCCTTTTATTGTTGAAATTAGGAAATTAGTAAAAATTAGCTGTATCAAAACCATCCTCCTCTCGTTTTCTACATCTTCAGTTAACAGGAAAAAAAATAAATCCTAACATCAGTAATTCAGCCCCAAAGTTTTGAAAGGGAACCCAAAGGAAAGACGTTTTAACATAACAAGGATCATTTTAAGATTTCATCAAGATTATAGTGCCACGGTAACAGGCATGAATCAGAATTTTGCAGAGATCTCCAATACAAGCAATCACCATAAATGAGGTTCTCTGTAAAACCATTATGCCAGTTTGAAAGGGCTTACCATGCCTTAAACATATACTTCTCTTAAACTACACCTAAAAACTGACTACCCAAATGAGCTTGAATCCCATCAAAGTAACATTCAAACATATCATTTTCCAAAAAATATTAGATGGACTTCTTTGGCTAGGGATAGAAAATCAAAATTCTTAACCAATGCAAATATTCTATAATAGGAACATGCAACTGAGATAATTGTCAATGAAGAAAGGTTACCTAAATACTGAATCAGAAGAAAGGATTCCCAGATGTGTATCACTGGAAGGGTGCCAATAAACTTGCAACATGCGGATTATACTCCTTCTGTGAAAGTATATTTCTGCCCCTATTGTTACAGTCCTGTGTAAAGTGAAAAATGTTATCACGTGACAGAAATTTTTACCATGCATAACTAGCTGATTAAAAAACTATATTCGAGTAACATTTTAGAGCGGCATTCAATTGAGAGCCAGATACTAATAACAAAGACGACTGGACTCTACTCATTTCTGATTCCAGAAGCATGTATCACGCTGAATCATCAGTTACCCATTTAACTAAGTATCCATTACACCATCAAAGTCACCACAGAATCCAGGCACAGATTCAAGAATCACCCTAAATCCTAAAGTAAAAAACAACCGTCATGAAATACAACATTTCAGTGAAGAGGAATTGCTTTAAGCTCGAAGTTCATGACATACCGGCAGATAACAATATTGTCCTTGACTGAAGTCTTTCCATATAGATACATTACGCACAGTCGATCTGAACCTGATAGGAGCATCGCAGATCCATGCCTATTGATGGAAATTTTCTGGACCTCGTAATTAAGCTGCACATCTGCTTGTAATACCTTAAGAAAGTACGTGATATATCAGAAACAGATAATCCCCAATGTAATAGGAAAAAGAAAAGCATCATGAACTGACTCGACTCCTCTTCCGTCCTCGTACAGCATGAACTGGTTATCTTGCGGTAACATGTCAGAAAATGCCCAAAATTTTAAAATAAATTTTTTTAGAAAAAAAAACCACAGAGGGAAAAACAATAGGGCGTGAATGCATAAGGACACAGCTGAAACAATTAAAATTAAAAAGGAACGGACGTGCTTAAGATCTCTTAGAAGAAATATAACAAGCTTCTCATAAAGCATGCTAGAGCTGTCTTAGTGAAAGGCAGCCAAACCTTTCCTAAACGTGTACAATCAGTGCCTAAGCTATTCATTAGATGATAAAAGCAATTCATCACAATTTAATTAATACAATTCCGTTCGTGTTCTGTTCTAATTTCCCCGCTCATTACGCTTTTATCATCTCAATTCTTTCCACCTCGACGAACCGCTAGTAAACCCTAGCCGCCGGACCTGGACGCCCCGTGAAACGTATGAACGAGAAAAATAAGTAGACGCACATAACTATCAAGGCTATCAGTTCAGCTGAAAAAATTGCATGGAAAAGAAGGAGGGGAGCGGAAGGGGAGGGACCTTAGAAGGAGAAGCGGCGAGTATAGAACTAGGATCAGGCTCGCCAAGCTGAACAGAAATCCGGTGGAGACACTGTTTTTGTGAGTCCCAAAAGTAGAGGCGCGAGGCTCCATCCCATGCCAAGAGATTCGTGAGCGTTTTAGAGGAGGCTGAGGAGGAGGGAGGAAGAGCGCCATCGGCAGCGGAAGTGAAAATAGGGTGGTGTTGGAGCGGAAGCCATTCAACATCTTCTTTTGGGGTTGAAGTAGACGGAGAAGATAGGGATTCAAGGCCGTCACCGGAATCGTCTAGCCCTATGAAGTTGAAATTGAATCTCATTGTGTCCCTCTCCCTCTCTCTGTTCGGTTCGCGGCCAATTTGGGTGTCGTCCGTCCTGCACTATGCTCTCCTCCGCCCACAAAACTTACAACTTCGGCTCCAGTTTCGCTGTTGCTAATTGCTCCACGACGTCGTGCTGCTTCCGCACTCTAGATAGTACTGAACTGTTCTTTTTTTTTTTTCCTTTTTTTTTTCCCCCAGAGGGAGGTCTATCCGTCATATACGCGCTGTTTGGATGGGGAATTTCGAAAGAAAAGAAGGGAATTGTTCAATCTTTCCTCTGTTTGGGACCTTCTAAGTCGAAGGAAAGGAAGGAAAAGAAGAGAAATGGATGGATGAGTTTGTTAAAACAATTCTCTCACCAATATGTACAGCGTACACAAACATTCAGCACTAGACTAGCAAATTGGTGGATTATTAATTTAAGGGACAAAATACCAAACACTACTATATTTGTTTGGATATAAAAATTATTTACTTGCATCATTAATATATTTTTTATTAAATTTTTTATCTTTTTAAATTTTTTTTATTTTATATATGTCACGTCATAAAAAATACTATAATAAATATTCAAAATAATATCTCGTATATGCAAACTGCAGCGAATTTCTTAGAATATCATTAAAATTGAAAATTGTCAGAAAAATGGTGTTGTTTGGTGGGGTTTACCGGAAAAAGGGGTCGCCGCATCTGTGATGTGAGGCTTCTAATAAAAATAATTATACTTTTCATTTATTTTTGGATCGCTTTGTTTTTTTTGGAATGGTTTGTTTTTTTAATGCATCGCCTCTCACAAGCGATTTTTTTTTTTTTTACTTTTTAATAAAACGTAACTTTTGTTAAAAGGTAATCGCGATGAAGTATTTTTTTTCTGGTAAAATGTAATCTTAATTAGGTTTGAAGGTTTAACGTTTTACCTGAAATCCTAATTTTCAAACCATCACATTACAGTGTAACCCTTTAACCTAATTTTAAAATCAAAATTCTTAAATCGTATTACTAAAATTCTATTATAAAGTAGAATTGTCAAAAATTTAATATATGATATTAGAATAATATTAATTTTATAAATTTAGATGATAATCAAGTAAGCCATTAAATTACTAATAAAATTTGCCTAAGTCATATTTTAAAATTTTTTTAATATTAATGTTAATTTAAATAATGATAAATAATGCAACATTGAACAATATTTATAGAATGTAATAATTAGTATATAAACTTAAATAATAATAAATTAGGCTTAATTAGGGTTAGTGTTTAACATTTTGCCTAATATGAAACCCTAATTTTCAAACCCTCACAGTGTAACCCTTAATATAAACATAAACCCTTTAACCCTAATTTTAAAATCAAATAATTATTGGAGTAGTGCTACTTTGAGGTTGTTCATGAAGACGAAGCATGAGTCGTTATTGTCGGCAATATAACAAATAATTGGAGTAGTGCTACTTTGACTACAAATTGTTTTTTGACTAAATCATGACACTTTGATTTGTAGATCTAAAAACTTTGTGATGGATAGATGGTGAAAAAACTAATGCCGAAAATTCAAATTGCGGTGTTAGTTTAAAAAAAAAAATTTAGTGCATGGCCGTATAAAGAAATAATAAGCATGGTAATCACAACCGTTGATTAACGTAGATTAGGTGGGATGGACGGTGGCAAACTATAGCCGCAATCGAGGTTTGAGGTTTTACTTTAAAAAAATTGTTTTTTTAGTTAAAAAAAAAAACTTGCCGTAATCCAAAATTGCTTTTCACATAAAAAAAATTATTTTGGCCGCAATTTGCGTTCGTTGATCAATGTGATCAACGGTGCGTAGTCGCCCAGGGGAAAAAAATTGATGCCGCAAATTTGCGCCGTTTGCAGCATCACGAAAAATATTTAAAAAAAACTGAATGCCGCCAAGAAATCAGAAATAAGGCTAACGAAATTTATCCATATTAGCTGTAGCTGTCATGTCCGTGTCGGTGTCGGCAGAGCATGAGCGGCAAAAGCTTGGGAGAAAAAAAAGGGGGGGGGGGGGAGAAATTATAGAAGTGTAAAGCAACCAAATTAATTGTAATTTTGTTGGTAGCCTCAAACGTTAAATGTGACAACCCCATTTTCGGCAAGCCCCACCAAACAACAACATTTTTCTGACAATTTTCAATTTTACCAATAATATTCTTAGAAATTCCCCTGCAAACTGCACCCCACTAGCACTAAACCAGAAGAGAAGCGACAGCGACGGAGGGAGTAATGACTAATGAGTATTATTACGAATCTTGCAATTATGGATCATCAATACCATACGACAAATTGTTAATTATCGTCAATCTCCGAATCCGAAAACCCCGGAGAGCTATTAACACGTCCACACTACATGCTTCCGAGCGTCCGGTGTCATGCGAAATTGCCAAACGCATAAATTCATAAACTTTTAAATCAAACTTAACAAAATACCGCTGGACTTCAAATTCAGTATTTGCAATCTGTGCAAATATGGTAGACTGGGAAAATATCAGACTCTAAGTTGGGGCGCTCGAAATTTGTACCCTTTCCATTCTTTGATTTGCGCGCGCCCCGCAGGTATGAAGCTTTTTACTTAATTTTGGTTTCAACTTTCTCAGGTTGTGTGGTTACTCTTTCTTTATTTTATTTTATTTTATTTTTTTTGGTCTACTTCTCTGAGTTATTCCACCAGAGTAAATTTTTATGTTTCATCTGATCCTTATACTAATCCTTAACGTATTGGCTGTTCCCGGTTTTCAGAATTTGTACGTTTGAATTTACTAATCCTTAACTTGTTTGGCTATTGATTTTTAAGCTATAGGTGCCAGCTGCGATGGATAGATAAGGAAGACAGAAACCTGGAGTCCGTTCGGTTGATGAAGGGCTAAATGACATCAACTGAACTCATGGAATATATGGTTCTGTCACTCTGTCCTCAAGAATCATGCCAGGCAACAATCATCGGTTTTAGAGTTGTATCCTGATGAATTGTTCATTAATTTATACTAGAAGTTGATTGGCTGCTGTGCATCCGGTTTGTGAAGAGGAATATTCTAACCAGTTCATCCCCCCTTCCGACGACGTATAATCATCAAATCCTTTCATAAAAATGTTGACACTGCAAATTGATTTGGATCTTCGTTATATATATATATATATATATATATGCTTCAGCTGAAGACAGTAGTAATATGTGATTCTCTATGAACAATTCGTGGAAGATAACGCTACATGTACAACGTCAAAATTGTCTTGAATCCTGAATTTGCCTCTCTCTCTCTCTATATATATATATATATATTTTTTTTTTTTTTTGAGAGGTCCTTTGCCTCTATATTCAATAACCGAACGACACGAGCCATTACAGTATACAATCACACTTTTTATGCCATCAGTATATGGTACATCGGATCGGATGAATTCTTTTGCTAGTTCTTGGACCATCAGATTGCAGACATCCTTCGGATAACCTGTACAAAGTACAAAACCCCGAGTCAGAATTTCAGAGCTAGCTATGAAATCCCACGTTGAATGATAAAAGTGCAAATCAAGCCAAAAAGAATAGTGCAGATTCACATGATCAGTTAGGCCAGCAGCTATTATACAAGTGCTGTCTATCTTCCACATGATAGAACATGCAATCCTATGGAAATGGGCTATGGTCCTCCAAGAAATTTTATAAAATAGTTGCACCACCAGACAGAGTGACAGACACAGGAGTGTGTGCCTATGGACATTAATTGTTTACAAATCATGAATGTTAAGGGTTACCTGAACCTGGCTGGAAAATTTGAACTGGTCAAGAAACTAGAAACATTGAACAGAACCCAGCTTTGTCACTATTTCAATCTTTCAATTTGGAGTAACTTTTGGTAATCCATTCTTGGGAATCCATTCTTGCACGCTGAGACCTGAATGCATGGGAATAACAACATATATATATATAGTTAGACAGAATGCTAAAGCAATCCTACTATTTGTTTTTTTTTTCTTTTCTTTTCCTTCCTGATTATAATATAATATGATGAAAACCAATAATCGCCGTTCCTTTATGTATAGTTTTAGTAGGGGGAGTTTTGCAGTGAGGTGATAATGCAGGAAGCCAATGATGATTCCATTTCTCTTTTTTAGTTGTCAAACAAAGCCACGTTACAATTGGGCGTTAGAACAAAGAATCCATTAGTTGTATCGGGTTCATCTCTGACCCGTTCATGATATATGCTCGGAATATATCAACCGATTGGCTCGAATTGATTAACATTTATTTCCTAGCAAACCCCACTTGTCGACTAGAAAAAAGTCAAAAAGGAGGATTTATGTGGAGGCCTAAGTCGTAGCAATAAAGATTTCGAGGCTGTGCAGCCAGCGATGTTTCAACTACGCACAGTTTAACTATTTAAATTGTTGTTGTCTAAGACCGGCATAAGCACAATGTGCAAACCGAATCTGCCAGAATTCTCGTAAACACAAAAGGGCAAAAAAAAAAAGTCTATAACTCTCTCGAAATAAAACGAAAAGCATTTGGGATGAAACCCCTCCTCTACTCTGCCCAAAACAAGAATTTTCAATCACACTTAGACCCAATGAAAGAAAAATTTTAAATTTATTTTTTAATTATCTTTTTATCTTACACATACAAAATCGTTATAATAAATTTTTTTAAAATATAATATAAAAAGCCTCTATCAACGAAATGTTTTTTCTCGTTTTCGTACCAGACAAAATTGGACAGAGTCAAATGGCGACATGAATAATGCAATTGGCGGGCGACTTAATTCTTCTTCTAAATTGGCCATCTAGAAGACGGCTTGAATTCAATCCCTTGGACATCCCCCGACCACTAACTCAACAAAACGTTGCTTGGTCCATGTTACACCACGGTGGACCCCAGCCAAGTTGCAGATTTTTCTTGGTTTTGTCTAATGCATTTTTAGCCGAACATGACCATTATGTTCGCGCAACAGAAATGTATATGGTAACATATAAAGTGGGGTAAAAAAAAAAAAATGAGAGAAAAGATTCGATGGATATCATCTCTAAATTTATATATAAATTAATTTTTTATACACTGCCACTGTTAAATTAAATGCATGACAATTTATATGAATTCAAATTAAGATATCCATGTTTATTGACAAAATGGTTCCTAGTGATTTGCTAAATATCCGCTTGCTGCTTAGCGAAGCAGGGAGAAAGGGACGGAGGAATTGATGACTTACAGCTTCAATATCAATTTTGTAGACCATAAGCTTTCTTCGCTCTCTGCAACTCGTTCTGTAGGCCGCCACTATGTGTCCGACGGCCAGAGCCAAGGAGCACGCGAACAACGCGACTTCCATGCCCCGAACACATCCACTCCCATTCACACTTGCGTTGCCAAACACGAACGAAGCCTTGAACGACACGAAAAGCAGAGACGACACCGAAAACACGGTGGCAATACTCAAGTACGGCCCTCCTGATAGTTTCGGACCATCGCATAAACCGTAAACACCTATATGATTATTCATGAATGAAACCCAATTTAAGAAACCATTAATTAATTAACCTTTATCGCACAAAAAGAAAATAAAAGAAGAAATTGAATGGTTGCTCGGATTCATTTTTTTCACTTACATAGAATGACAGCTGACCTAATGAGGGAGATGAGGGGTATGTCGATGAGGGAATAGCGGAAGTCGTAATTGCTTAGATGAGAAGAGAGGGCTTGGAGGGAAAGAGACGATGGAGAAAGAGAAGCTGACAACAGCGCCGATGGAAGGAGGGCATCCGCGACAGCTACGAGAATTGGTGCTGAGAATACGAGAAGCGAGAGCAGCATAGTGATGAGGAAGAAAAAAGTTTTAATCCACCTTAACGCTCGCTTCGATTTCTCGTCCTTGGCAAACCCCATATCTTAATTTCTTCCAAAGAATCCTGAAAATTGCTTGTTTCCGATCTAACCTAATGTCGTCTAGTAGTAGTAGTAGTACGTACGTTTGAATTGTGAAGAGAAATGGAGAAAGATGGTCTATGTGGGGAAAAAATCAAAGAAAAGGAAAGGAATGAAATATTGAAATGGAGGGAGGCCAGACCAGAGAGGCAATATATGTCTGGTCTACTAGACGAACGATTAATATATGTGGAAGGTGCAATGGTTCGACGTTTTGACTGTGCACATATCAAGTTGGACAAGCGACTTGGGAAGCAGGAACTTTACACGCGGAAGGCATCGGTCAAAGAGGGCATGCTTTTCGTTCATATTTTTCTCTTTCTTGTTTGAATCAACGGCAATACCTAATCAACTTTCTTAACGACAATTAACTGCATCAACTTTCTAGATTTTATTATGCAGTAAATTTTTTCTTTATTATTAGGGTTAATAACAAAAAAGCCCCCGATATTATACCTAATACACAGAAAATCCTCCTGTATTATACTCTCGTGACCTTGGATCGATAGCGTGCATATTTGGATGTATCTAGACCAATAACTTCTTTGCAGAATTTTACTTTAATGTTGATTACTCTTTTTTTTCCCCCTTTGTGGGTGGCTAGTCTTAAATTAAATGAGCAAATCCGTGATCACTGAGTAAGATAATGGCACAGTTCAATGAATAGCTTTCAAGCATCCATCACGGGAAAAATCATTCTAAAATAGGATGAGTTTTAGAAATTCTGAAATGCCAAGCAAGCAGACCACCACCTAAAAGGCAAAATGCACCAGCACAAAGATGCTGAGACAGCTTGGTTTATCATCAAATTACAATATATATATATATATATATATATATATGGATGGCTACCAGCTACAGTGCCTCCAATCGTTTTTTGTATCTTCTATGATCCAGGGATTATTTTGGATAACGGATATATTTTTGTTACAGAAGCATGCATGCAAGCAATTATGGATGGCTTAAAATATATAAAAATCAATCAATCACGCTTGTAATTAAAATTTCACATGATTAAATCAACCGACGGAAACCAGCTGATCATGTGGGCACATGTAACTGTTTGTTCTCCCTCCCGAATCTGGTGCTATTTTTTCCACTTATAGTATTAGTAAAAAAAAAATTGTATTTTTCTGATGAAGGAACTTTTTTTTTTTTTTTTTTCACTTGTGTTGGTCTCCAGTGTAAGTGCTCTAGGCACTTCCAGATTCAAGAAGGAAGGGCTAAAATAAATAAATAAATGTTTTTATGGGGAGCTGTTGGAAATAATACGTAGAATGTTTGGCGGTCAGACGTCCGTCAATTGGCCTAGGGTCCTTCCCATTGCGGTAGTCAACCAAGGAAATTACTCCCTTCATTTCACTTTATAGTCCTGTTTCTTTTTTCACACAGTTTAAGAAAAAATAGTTAACTTTGTTGAAAAAATAAATTTAGATTGCTATTTTCCTAAACTACCGTCACATTAAATATGGTAAACTTTATGGGAACTTGAATTAATGGTAAAAAAAGAATCAACTCTCGTTAAATGGGGTAGGTTTATAGTAACAACTCCTTACATTGCATAAGGGTATTTTAGAAAAATTAAAATACAACTACATTCTTCAATTGGAGAGTGGACTATAATTTGGAACAGATGAAAAAGGAATACAGGACTATCAAAGTGGGACGGAGGGAGTAAAATATCATCTGGAAATGGAAATTGGATTACGGGGAAAAGAAATTTGAGAAATGCAGTGAAACTATTAGAAGACATCAAGAAGGTCCCCCCAAAAAAAAAAAAAAAATCTCTTCGAAACGAATGTGGTCCTTGAATTGTAGCAAAAAAATGAGGTGAATGATTTGTAGGAGTAACCAACAACGGATTTCAATTTGGCAACGATCTTCTATACTTGAAACAACTAAGGTCAGACCAAACATTTCTGAATTTTGCATTCCACTCTCATATCAAGGCACCCACCACTAATTGCCAACAAATTGCGCGCCACGATATTAGATGTTTCTAGAAACATTACGAGAATAACTTCCTTTGTATATAAATTCTCTCTTTTAATTTGCTCATTCCCCGCTAGTTTGGGATAATAAATCTCAATATGATATACGTACGTACTTTTAAAAGTCGTTCAGTTGGATATTCACTTCACACAATCGATTACAAGATCGAGTTCCTGCCGCGAAGTGAGAAACTTTCTCACATGAATGAAGCAGCGGTACTTGAAGATGTGAAGCCTTTGTACCCCTCTGGCCTCTCGTCTCAGAAGTTTGACCATTTTATTATCTTTCTACCCAATGAAAACAGTATAAAATTCAGCGCCCTTTTTCCCATTGCTGTTTCCAATTTATATCACGGATGACGACTGGGTTAGCGTTTAGTCTAAAATATGCTGCAATTTGGGCTTTTCATAGAGTTGAATCCGATGTCGAGTCATCGCTTCTGTCATTAATTACAAGAGTAAAATTTAAGGAAGAAAAGAAACACCACAAATTTCTGAATGATCTCAGGCAATTCTTCAAGTAGCAGCCTTTTCTCCACTATTTTTAAGTCAAAGCAGGTGATACAAATTCATAATATGGCTTTGAATTCTAGCGGACATGATATGCACATTATGAATCTTTTATTTAGACTATATTAACATGAAATGAAAGGTTGAAATCCTGAAGCCACATGTTTAGATATTTCATTGAAAGCCGCCAATGCCCCCCCCCCCCCCCCGGGGCCTCGGCGCAGGAGGTCCAGCGAGCGAAATCATCCCTTATTACCTTCTTCTACTATTGGAGGCTTAAATCATTGGGATCAACTTCAGATAATAAAATTGATTTAAATCCATAAATATGGCCTTGCCATGATCGATCATTAGTTCGTCGAAACTTCGTAGTGGTTTTGGGCCCGAATCTTGGTACTTTCGTCAAAGAATCCTCTTCCGGTCGCCGAATTTTTCATTCAACGGGCTCCGATTAATTGGTTGACTTCAAAGTTTCGTAAGGAAAGAGAGAGAGGGAAAAAGTCAGAATAAAAATCGTTATTGTCACCTGGTTGATTTTCTTAATGGTTAAGTTGGATCTACGGCATATAATTAAAATTTTAAAAAGAGAGAATAATTTTTATGAACGAGAGATACAAAAATGCGTGGGGTGATCATATAAACAGAAAGGCTTGCCTGAATCAGTTTGGATTATTGTCGTCCTTTTTTTTTATTTTGGATTATTATTATTATCCTTCTATAAACTAAAAAAAAATTTTTGATTATAGATTTTTCCCCAGCAACCACTGAGGAAATGCAGTCTGTGATGGTAATTGGATTTTTAAGTCAATAATAGTGGACTAGTGGTAGGTAAGAAGAAACAAAACTGCAAGTCTGCAAGGAAGGGCCATATGGTTTCTGACGTCCGCCGTGGACAAATTCAATCGGAATTCATTTTTCAGCTCATAAGAAATTTCTTGAGGTTACATATATGGCGTGGAGTTGGCTTCTCCCGGAAATTGCAAAATCATTCTCCCATAGTTCCACCTATTCGAGGATATTAAATTCTGGGAAATTCAATCCCACCTTCATGCTGTTTTTCTGCTCCCTTCCCTCTAATTCTTCTTTTAGGTTCGTGATGTAAGGTGTAAATTGTCAACCATGACATGAGTATTTACTTTGCAAATACTTCACACGTTCTTGGCATGCCCCCTTTTAGGTCTCGTTTGAATTGTTTTTTTTTATTTTTTAAAAAATATATTGTAACGATTTAATATATATGAAATATAAAGATAACTGAAAAAATATATTGTAACGATTTAATATATACGAAATATAAAGATAACTGAAAAATGTGTTTACGACAGACATAAAAATTTTATCTTAAAAACTGCCATCCAAACGTGAAAATATAGTGTTGTAATGATTTGACGGAGCATTTCGAACCTTTTCACCATGACTTGCGGTTAGTAGCAAGTCTAAATCGTCAACTATAACCCGAAGCGCTCTCCATCGTTGTCTATGCTTTGTTATTGACAAAACACCAACATGTTGATTTATCCAATCAGGCAAATTAATATAAGTGGAAGGGTACGAATTTGAAACCTCTCACTTACACTACCTAATCGCTTATCTGAACCTTTCAATCCATCCCTGTCCAAGCAAATTAATATAGATTGTGATACATTTTATTATTATTATTATTATTATTGTGAGCCGAATATTTCCTGTTATTGATGAGAGCCACACAGGCAAGTGTTGAGTATATGGCGAATTCTCAAGTCTGGCAATCCCAATTGGAACCTAAATTGGCGTTCTCAAGTGCTAGCGATCAAAAAACTAGAAAAAGCAATCAATTGTGTTAGGACATCGTTGGAAGTTGTCCATTTTACACCCGCCTACGTGTATTTTTTTTTTTTTTTTTTGTCGACACAGGGGTGTTCGGGTCAATTCTTACGGGGTCCGACTAATCTCCTGCGGTCCAGGTCCGGCGCCCCAACCCGACCCTAGCACGTTAAGTGCGCGGAGGAATCCAGCAGAGTGGAACCTCGAACTCGTGACCTCTCGGTCCTAAGAGCTGGCTTCCGCTGGACCATTCACGCGGGCGCCCACGTGCATGTGATCTCGTCACACTGCAGCATTTCTGTCCATTAGACAAGTAACCCGGGGGGGCCTCCTTCTTTGGAATTGATTGAGGTATTATTTAATCATGCATCGCATGAACATGCCACGTACCACGCTAATCAATAAATGCTCTTTACACGATTGACTATCAAATGAATTAAAAATCAAGATTACGTTTATCCCATTTCACCATCAGGATTGGAAAGGAAATGCTATTGATTTACTTATGCGATCCTTTTCTTTGCAGGCAAGGGAGGGACCTATAGCCTAGTGGCTTTTGTGGCTTGCTTCATCCACGTACACGCTTCTCCCACGGAGCAGGCCCAAAACGGATGTACCACTGCTGCTACTTTTTACGTTTTCTTGAGCTTCGAGAAATTAAAGATAAGATTCGGCCTCTTTAAATCTTATGAGTTCTTGCCCCCCCGCATCCCAGCCGACATTCGGTAACTTGGGTTCCCACACTAGATCGATAAATTTGAGATGTTCCCAGCTCATTAGACCGACCGTTAACTGTCAAAAGTGTTCCTGTCCTGCTAAATTTAGATGTGGTGAGGATTTGTCCGTGTGGATGCGATTACGACTTCAGAATC